AGAAAGCCTACGTACAACCCGATATTTATCCCATGGAATTCACACGACCCGCCTAAGTATAAGCTAGCAGCATTCCGGGCGCTCATCGCGCGAGCTTATTCGCACTGCAGCAGTACCCAGGACAGAAACGAAGAGCTCGGTTATATCAATAAATTAGCTAAGAGACACGGGATTAATACTAAAGCTATAAAAAGCCTATGTAAGACACGTAGCAAGATGAGAAGTCTACAAAATACAGAAGAGTTCACAACGATGGAGTACAAGGCCTCGCTAAGCAACGTATATAGGCGAATAGGAGCTGCTACAAAGAAAAGAATAGTATACAAAAGGAGTCCCACTATTTATCAGTTGCTAAGGGCAGACAAAGATGCTGTGGACAAGAACACTATTCCAGGAGTCTACAGAATCCCGGTTACAGACACACAGAGGCAGAATATGATGTTCTACATCGGAGCTACCGGAAGATCCATCAAACAAAGGCTGTTAGAGCATCAGAGAAATATAAGAAAAGAACAGCCGTGCACAGCGCTGGCGACGTACGTCTTAGTCGACCCACAAGAGGTCAAAGCGGAGTGGGACCGTGCTAAATTGATACAAATAGTACGCGACAAAAAGCACCTCAGATACGCTGAAGCCTGGCATATCTGCAAAACAAGCCAAAAAGGTTTAGCTATCAACTTCCGGGATGCAAGCAAAGTATCGGCAGCATGGCGAACATGCATACTATAACAGTCAAGAAAGTTAGCATAGCGGCAACTCTCTTAACTCTTGTTTCTATATGCACTCTATTGTATTTTAATGTATTTACGGGCATTATTTTAACACTTTATTGTAGTTTAATGTATTTACTGGTATTATTTTAACTAATTATAGCCAATATGTAGAGATGGCGCTTATACGATAGAATATCTTTTAAAAAACGTTCCAAAAATAACGCCTGTATCGTAACGCAAATTTTTGGTTCGAAGTTCGATTTTTCAGTTTTTTCTTGATAAAGACCATTGAATATGGTCGAAAACGTTTGAATTTATCTATTAAATTACGGCTGCATATGTAAAGGTTTGTTTGAGTGTATTTAGATACATATTATTTTTTACATCCACTCAAAGCCCAACAATGAGAAATTTTTCTTCTCATTTTATAAAAAAAAAAAAAAAACAGTGTGAAACAACATATGCTAATGTATAAAAACTTATCAATATCAATAGTAGTACTACTACCCTGATTACTTCCCCCAAGCAGATGAGTAAATCAGACTTATGCTTCTACTTCCCTTCTTTGTTTTGATGAACCTGACCCTGGCCCAGTTCTCCAAATATATGTACAGATTGATACCAATATATTGATGTAGCCTTTTGATCACTGAATCGGTAACTAATTTATTCTCTAGCACTATAAATTGTAATAATGATTATGCACATATAATGTGTTACTGTTACTGGAAACCATTGGTTATCCTATCACTAGTTTATATCCTTTTGCTGTAGCAGAATTTATAAAATTTAATAATTAAAATTTTATATAATAAGTAATTTCCAAATTTAATGCAATTAATAATTATCATTTATAATTAATCATTAGGGTTCTGGTGTAATAAAAGCAGGCTTTGCTGGTGATCAAGTTCCAAAATGCCATTTTCCAAATTAGTAAGTAGTTTACATTTTACTATTACATATAATTTTTATTATTTTATTAAAATTAAGTAACGTGGAGGTTTTTTTAGAAGACTTTGATCAAATGCATTTCATATCTTAAAGTGTTTTTTTTAAATATTATTATTTTAACTCTTAAGCTGAGTTTCTTTTTCTATACATTTTCTGTATTCAGATTTTTTCCTGTATTAATATAAAGATTTTCATATTTATCTACAGTATTAAGAAATAAGAGAGGAAAATTAAGGAAAATAGAGTTTTCTTTAATTGTTTTCAATTATGATCACAAATCATATGCTTACAGATTATTTATATAATTTTAAAATTTACATTTATAAATTTAAAAAAAAAAATTTGAATTTCAGTTGATACTTAAATCTGTTGCTACTCAGTTGTTATTGATAGTTCATTGCTTTGATTGCCCTGGATCATACTTAGAAATTCAGTTGATGCTGTGATTTGCAGATATTTTCATATTTCTGCATTAATTTTTAAGTTTTATTGAATAACTTATTGTGAAGATGCTATATGATAAGATCCAAGACAAATATCCATTGTGAAATATCAGAAATGGCTCAGTGACTTTGAAAAACAGTGGAATAGTATATTTAATTAGCAGAAGCAATAAATAATTGCATTCTGTTATGTACCATGAAGAATTATCAATGACTAAAATCGTGAAAAATGTATGCGTAGTTTTTCATTTCTCAGTGCTACCTTTGCAATGTATCACATTTACTAATTCAACTTAAAATTTTCAAATAAATTCAATAATTTGATAATCTCTGTCATTTTCAAGATGCAAGACTTTGAACTTTCATTTTTCTTTTGTCATTGTTACGGTTAGTGTTTAAGCATAAAAAATACAATAGAACAATGCTCGAAACAGGATAAATCCACATATCTTTCATACAGAATGTCACCATCTGTCTTTGACATATCACAGCTTTTTATGGAAATTGTTGACATAGCAACAAATTGTATGGTATTTTTATAAATAAAGAAATTTATATATTGTGAATGCTTTTAAAAAATTTTAAGAATATTTGTAAAAATGCTAATTGAATACTTTTTGATAGAAGCTGCCATTACTCCAGCTTACAATTAAATGTTCAATTCTTTGTATTTATACAATATTTGTAAAATAAAAATCTTAATGTATAGAATTTCAGTTGATACAAATTATTGTGATTTAATCAAATTTTAAAATTTTCTTAAATATAAAATTTATTATTATTTTATATTCTTACTGAATCAAGTTGTCTTTTTAGAATTAGTTATAAATATGTTATATAAATGTTTTAGTTCACATGAAGTGAACAAAGCCAAATAAAATAGAAAGCAATAATTAAAAGTAGCAGATTGAATTAATTTATGCTGAAAGAAAATTATCACATTTTACTTTNAGAAATTCAGTTGATGCTGTGATTTGCAGATATTTTCATATTTCTGCATTAATTTTTAAGTTTTATTGAATAACTTATTGTGAAGATGCTATATGATAAGATCCAAGACAAATATCCATTGTGAAATATCAGAAATGGCTCAGTGACTTTGAAAAACAGTGGAATAGTATATTTAATTAGCAGAAGCAATAAATAATTGCATTCTGTTATGTACCATGAAGAATTATCAATGACTAAAATCGTGAAAAATGTATGCGTAGTTTTTCATTTCTCAGTGCTACCTTTGCAATGTATCACATTTACTAATTCAACTTAAAATTTTCAAATAAATTCAATAATTTGATAATCTCTGTCATTTTCAAGATGCAAGACTTTGAACTTTCATTTTTCTTTTGTCATTGTTACGGTTAGTGTTTAAGCATAAAAAATACAATAGAACAATGCTCGAAACAGGATANGATATACTAATATACTAATTACATGGGATATAATAATATACTATACTAATAATGGATTTTTTCATACTTTTCGGTTATCCGACTTTTCAATTATCTGACCAACCCCAGTCCCCAATTGAGTCGGATAATCGAGGCTCTACTGTAAAATTATTAACTTTATCAAGAGATGGTGTGTAATGTCTACCTTTACAGAATTTATTTATTCAAATATATCTACAATCATAATTGAGACATAGGTTATTACAAGATTTATTACCACATAAATAGAGCATTGATTTATGCTCCTATTGGAACTTATCTGATTAAAAAATTGCAAATTATCTGAAATACAGTAGAAAGCATGGTTTTTCTTTTAACTCTCTTAGATTTCTGGTACAGAAATTATATTAACATAAATTTGTAACAGAAAGTAAGAATCCATTATAACAGAAAAACATAATTATTGTGCAGTGATAAAGATGAAAACCTTTTGTTTATAACATAATGTATAATATTTTAATCTTAAATAAGAAAATTAGCAAAGATAGTGAGTAAAGGATATATTTCTAAAGAAAGAAAATTAAGTCAAAAAAATTAGTGAACATAACCTGTTAAAAGAAAGATCAGTACAAAAATAGCAGTAGTAGTTATATACACAGATATAATAGTAATGTGAGATGGAGCCAAGTAACTAGAACAATTACATAATAGGAATAACATAAAAACAGCTAAATCAGTTTGCATATACTAGTATATATAACTAAAGTAGTTGTAATAAATTATGGGTTTAATTTTTTTTTAAACCTTAGAAGTATTTGATAATTAAAAAGGAATAATTTTAAACCTGAATAGTTTTCTGTTTTAATCATTACTGCTAGTTTTTACATTGAAATCATTGATTACATTCACATTTGTGTCCATTATATTTTTTTTTTTGTTTTTTCTTTGATATACTAATGTATTCAGATATAATAAAAAATGACAAGTACAGTAACAATTTATCATGTTTCTAGACTGCATTTGTTTATTGAATTTTTTGATCTTTAGGTTAAAAAAAATTTTATTACATTATCAAATCGCATTTTTCTCCAAATAAATCATTTAAGATACATTTCTATGTCAGTGCAGCTTTTTCATAAATTGTGCTATATCTTCTTCAATGTTCTATATTTTAAATAAAGTCTGATTTATCTAACACTAATCAGACTATTCAAAATATATTTTCAATTCCTTAAGATATAAAAAATTTCAAAATCCAAGTGAAAAAAAACACTTTCAATTAACTAAAGCTTTTAACATTGATTTAGCATCAAATAAATGTTTTTGAAGCTTTTAAACTTTATCCACAAATGTGCAATTTGAATTTTGAATGAAAACTGTAGTGTTAACTTAAGATATCTTCAGTTAAAAGTATTACTTGATTTTTGAGACTTAGTATATATGAATATCAGTAATGAAACAATATTTTAAGCTTGTGCTGTTCTTGAGAATTTTTAAAATACAGTAGAGCATTGATTATCCGATCCCTGATTAACCGTCACATCAGTTAACCGACCGTTCTAGTCGGCAAATTTCAAATGTCCACTAGTGATGTGGCACTACAATATTTGGCTATGTCTTGGCTACTTTAATATTATTTTTGTTAAATTTTTGCATGTTTTAGCTGGCAACACTGGCTCAACCATTGAAGGGAGGCCAGTATTTAAACGAGACTTAATTTTCTAATTATGAGTGGTTGTTTGTTTTGTGAGCTATAAAATAATTTAAAAATAATTTTTAACGATACAATAGTGACGATTATTATTTTAAAAAAAACTTGTTAGGCTTAACATTGATGAAAATTCAACGCAAAGTTGGTTAATAGCGATATATTAATATACAGTACTAATTACACGGGATATACTAATATACCCAGGGTGGCCAATCTCCTTGATAGTCCGAGCCATTTTTCAAAATTTGAAATTTTTTGCGAGCCGCAATTAAATACGTATTAAAAAGGTATGCAAAAAAGGTATTAAAAAAATTTTTTTACAGAAATTATATTTATTGAAAACATATAAATAAAAGTACAAAATATGTGTATTGAATTTAAATATTAAAAATTAAACACATTTATTTTACTTCTTTTGATAATTCTTTAAAATTTGGTGAATAATTGGTGACAGCACTTCTCAGTAATTCTTTCAGATGCTGGTTAGTTAATACTGATCGGTGTTTGGATTTCACGAATTTTAAAGTGGAATAAAATGATTCACATAACTACATTGTTCCGAATATTGAAATAATTCGACAAGCAGCCTTTTTTAATTCAGGATACTTCGATTCTGGTACAAATTTCCAAAATTCAGTAATCGATGTCGAATTATATTTTAATTGTAGAGCTTGATCTTCTTGCATCTCTGTTAATTCTAGTTCTCCAGATGCTTTTTTGGTCATAATTATATTAGAAATGGAAAACTCACCTTGAATTATGTTAATTTCAAATAAATTCAGAAAAAAATCAAGAGACGATTTAAAATATTTCAAGTCTTGAAATCTATTTTGGAATTCCGTCAATATTCCTTCTAGCTTTTTTAAAAATATACTTGTTGAGTTTTTCTTGTTTAATATTGGAACAAATTTTTTTAATTAGAGGAAAATGACAAAATGTTTTACTTTTAATGTCCTTTTGAAAAAGTTGTAACTTAGTTTGAAAACTAAATATACACTGTGAGAGGTCAGATATTATTTTATCTTTCCCCTGCAATTGTAAATTCAGTGTTTGCATGTTCCATGACATCAGTCAAAAACATTAAGTCTTGTAACCACTCGTCATCGTCTAATTCTGAATAGGTTATTTCCTTTTCTTTTAGAAATGCAGTTATCGGATCAAACAAATTACAAATATAACGATTTAATACGTTGTAGCTAGATAACCATCTAACAATGCAAAAGAAATTAATGCCATTTGGAAGTTCTTTGTCCTTTAATTCTTCAAGGAAATTTTTGAATTGTCGATGATTTTTTGCATTGGTGCGAATGTAATTTACAATGTGTGACACTGTTTTAATAACATCAGGATATTTTAAATATTTTGTAACGAGATGTTCTTGGTGAATTATGCAGTGAATCAGTATGAATTGTGGAATTTGATAATCATCTTTTAAAAGCC